TCCTTTGAGTCCCAGTTTCCTTTCCATTACTATTGGTTTCCTGTGCATTTCCATTCATTTCAATTAGTTTAGTTTTCATCTGATCCTCTAATTTGTGGCTAAAATCAACTAATTCTGTGAGCATCCAGATCACCAGTGTTTTGAAGTGTGCATCTGAAAGTTTGGCTATTTCTTCATCACTTAGATTTATTGGCTCAGGGGCTCTGAATTGTTCTTGAGCCATGTTTTGATCTGTTCGTGCCTGTTAGGTATGAGGAGCGGAGCCTTAGATGTTCACCAGGGTAGGGCTACCCAGGTCGCAGGTTTGTGATGCTGTATGTGGGGGCGGGGTCAGAGAGGGACAATGGTGGTCCCCTCTGCCGCTTCCCACCACTTGGGCCTGCATGGTCTGTCTCACCGCTCGCTCTTTCACCGGTTTATCTGCGCACAAATGTGTGACCGTGGTCAGCCCTCAGTGAGTCCACTACCTTGCACCCTCAGTGGGTCTGCCTGCTACTCCACACCTGGGATCCGCCCACTGCTGCAAGCGCACCTGGGTTGTGTACCCGGGTTGGTCCGGTGGATCTTTCCTGCCCAACCCCCCTCTTACTGGTTTGGCTGAAGGGTTCGTTGTTGTCAGACTTCTGTATAGTTCAGTTTTCTGTGGTTTGGCTGCATTTTTGATGCTAGAACTTTGTTGTTTTTAAACTTCATTGTGTGAGAAGGCACAGTACTTCCACCTATGCCTCCATCTTGGCGGAAGTCCTGTGCAGTATTTCTTATTATATTTTTTTATTTATGTTTATCCCTCTAAACCTCCCCCACCCACAGTTACCACACTATTGCCCACATCTGAGTTCTTTCATCTTTTTCTTCAATCTCTCCTTTAACAGTGGTCTTCAACATTTTTTTGTGCCAGGAAACGGATTTGTGAAAGACAATTTTCCAGGGACCTGGTGAAGGGTGTAGGGAGAGACTGGAGGTAGAGCTCAACTTCCATTGCTGGCTGCTGGCTGCCCTCACCTGCTGCTGTGTGGCCCAGATCCTAATAGGCCACAGACTGGTAGCAGTCCAAGGCCTGCAGGTTGGGGACCCCTGCTCTATAGCAACAAGTTTCTACCAGTGTGCTGCAAGAATTTTAAAATATGCAATACTTGACTATGTAGTTAGGGGCACTCATGTCTTTTCCTTTAGATTGTGAAATTAAAAAATGACAACTCCCAACACAGTAATATCTGCCTGGTGTGAGTGAATCAAAATTATACCTATTTTTTTGTCAGACTGGCAAAACATGTATTTTTGGTGTGCCACAGAATTTTAGTAATTGGTTTATGTATGTCATAAGATGAAAAGTTTAAAAATTACTCCTTTATAGTAATTAGATGATGCTTGTTACTATTATTTTTTTAATTTTTTGCATTTCTTAATTCTTTTGAAAAGTATAGCTGCTTTTTGTGAAAACAACTTCTTTTATCCAAAACTGATTATTGTTTTATTATGATTGAAACCTAAGATATTGATCAAAAATATATATCTCATTCTTTGATACCATCTATAGAGCTAGTTAATTATCTTTTATTTTGCCCTTTCTTATAAAATTCCAAACTTTAATGGCATAGGCAAACATTAACTGTATATTTAGTCTCTAAACCTTCTGCCTGATTTCATAGGTATCTCTCAGATTTTTGTTGATGTAATCCTCAACAAAAGGTAATGTTCCATTACCTCCCAGCTTTGTATTTAACCTTCTTTATACCACAACAGTGGGAAGACTGCAAAATACATTTTACAACATCCCTCTCCAGCTGGCATCCAATGGGAGGTAGGAAATGGAAACCTGTATTCAAGAAGAAGCTCTTTTCATGGTTTCTGCTCACATCTGTGGTAGGAACAATAGCATCAAGCACAGCAGCAGCAACAGCAGCAGCAGCAGTGTAGTGACAGAGGTGGTCACAATGGTAATATGAGCAGTTCTGGAAAAAACACAGAAGCAAAGGTGGCTGGTGACCTGTGGGTCCCAAGTCCCTGCTCAAGCAGCACTGCCCCAGCAGAAGCATCTCAGAGGTAAAGTGTTCATGGACCCTGGGTGAAATCATTTTCCCTTTTGTTTTCCAGATCCAGGTATGATCATATTTGAGTGTAATTGTCAATCTTTGGATCATCTTACCTTTCTTGTTTTGCTTCTCTAGCCCATTCCAATACTTTTGTAGGAGATTCCTTATATCATACTCCCTCTCTGTGGGGAACACCTAGATCTATTTTCGTTTTTCTGATTGGTCAGGGTTGGATGCACGCTGTTATGAATCAGCATCTGTGCGTAACAGTCAGCATATGTGGTATGCTCCAGAATGCATTTCATCACATCCTGGAAAAACATTCAAGGAAGACTCCATTGACAATGCCAACTCTGCATTTAACTTTTCTTTGTCTCTCAGTAGTGACTCACCAAACTCTCAGATCCAGTGAGAGTTTTTGTGGTATTCACTAGCACTTATATACTCTTGTTTGTGCTGTTTATTGTCCAGAATATTTGCATTTAAATAATTGAAAAAAAATCAAACTGTTTGTGTCTGTTGGGTTCTTTCTTTCTTCTTTAAGCTATTCATAACCCTTATCTTCCTGTGTTTTCCTTCCTCTAAGCCTTCCAAAAATTTTTAATTTGTGGTTTTCTTTTGACATTTTTTCCCATTTTTTCTAAAACCTTTTCATCTTTGCAGATAAAGTTGGCATTCAGAAAGAGATTTCTCAAGAAAAAAAGGAAGTCTCTAATAATAATGCTAGCCCAGAGGAAGGGATAAGATTGCTCTCATGAACCAGGTTAAAATGTGAGATGTACACTAATGACATCAGTGTGGCAAGAACATTGTGTCATAGGTTCATTATCATGATATATAACCTCTGCCCAAGATTAAATATGGAAAATATCATACTCCTCTAAAACTAAGAGAGAACATTATCTTGAACTATGTAACAATCCCATAGTTCACCACAGTCAAATTGATGCCTGCACCTCTATGTTCAGCTTCCTTCATCATTCTGAGCAATGGGGATGGGGGCTACTGACTCCAAACCTGGGAACTATTCATGTGATGGCCTGTTGTTCCAAAGGATTGCTTGACCTTTAACATTCACCCCCTCTGTTTTCATGTACTTTCCTCTGCTGTGTTGTATTATATCATACAACACAGATATGATAAATTTAGAAGTTGACACTTGAGTAGACACAATCTGGAAAAGAAAAAGATTAAACGGTTCAGTTGAATGTAGTCCAGAAGCAGGAGAAGGCATGAGGCCAAATTCTCCCAGCTCTTTGTTTAATCACATGATGTTGCTTGGATATCAGCTCATCAACAGATTGGATTTTCACCCCACCACTGCAAGAAGAAAGAGACCTTGTAAAAAATTAATGGAATATGAATGGGTGCTTTTTAAAAAAAGAGAGACTGCAACACAGGGTAAGTTTCTTTTAAGCACACATGTCTTTATGTTTCAGATATGTTATTTTGTAAATTTTTCCTCCTGAATTATCTACCTAAGCATTTTAATCAAACTGTATCAGGTGCAGACCACTTGAATAAGTAAGATGGATTTTCTCAGCACACATAAATTGTTGCCACAAGAAATATCATCAGTCATTTGTTATGCTGTTTTAGGAAAGAAAAAATCTTTCCAGCCTTGAAGAATATTTATGCTCTGCTCTACAGATCTGGAAAATGGGAGAAGAGATATTAAGATGATTTGAGTACAGGATAGAGTTTGGCTTCCATCACAGAGAATATTAAAAGAGTACGTCTTGGTTGGTGTGGTTTCTGGAGTGCATGTTGAAGGAAAACAGTATTAAATATTTATAGTTTATTTTATAAGTTTATATCATGGGAACAGGATACATGGAGGTGCTGACTGATGTTTCCCTAACACATTTCTCTTTTGGAACATTTGAGCTTGGGCTCTGTGAACTCAGAACCAGAGTTTTCTCACATGTTAAAGTGTTTCTTACATGTGTTTTCGTTGTGCACTTGTACACATATGTGTGCATGAACATAATGACAGAGGAGAAGAGCATAAAGATTGTTCTGTGTTCATAATCTCAGTTAATCAAGCAACCTGATAAGATAGGCATTGTTTCCAAGAGCAAAGCTGTGAATGGAGGGGAATATGCTGGGGGTTCTCATTCTGTGTCTCTCAACCTTATTCCAATATGTCTATTCTTCTTTGATTGTTAATTTTTTAAATTATTATATACATCTCAGATTCTAAACCCTAAATTACATGGAGAGAAGATTTACTCATAAGCAGGTGTGACTTCATTTTGTATCTTTGCAGGAAAGTGGCAAAAATGTGGCTAGATTTAATAGTTGCTTTTTTTAGTATAGAGCTATAAAACTGCAAATCTATATGTGTAAGAAATGGAGAATGAAGTAAAAGTATACTATAGTGTCACTAAAAGACATATTTTAATGGATATTTAATAAGCTGGAAAAATACACAACACATAGACTATGATTGCTCTTCTCTCAAATCACACACAATGTACGCAGAAAATTAATAAAAAGAAATCAGTCAAATGCTAACAATAGTAATGGAAAGTTAGGTTATGGTTGATGTGTTATTTTATTTAATTTTTAATTTTTTTGAATTTTTCATAATGAAACCTATTAATTTTAGAATCAGAGAAGATACTAAATGTTTTTTAAAATTATCAAGTAGCAGCTGTTGTGACATTATATGGCTCTATGACCCATGTCTTCCAAACACAGTGTTCAGCAGAGAGACATGGGGCTCTGAATTATTCCTCCCATAAAAAAGGATGAGAACAGGGGAAAGCACAGAACTAAGCGGTGTGGTGAAATCCACTTACTTGGAAACCTGTGAGAAAATTTCTTATCCCTGGAAACAAATAACATGCATTTATTTGTTTATTTGCTTGCTTACTTAATTACTTAGGTACATTCCTAAAATTTGTTGAGCAAAATGCAATTTTATGCTATTTTTTGTTGTTCCTTGGAGATACAGGATAAAGAATGGGAGAAAAACAGAAAAGACAACAAAGGCTTCAGACTATTACACAGATTCCTTGCATTCGAGTGCCTCCATCTGCTGACATGACATTACTGAAGGTGCAGCATGTTATTCACAGATGAAGAGGCCTTGTCTGTGTCTCCCTCAAGGCTTGAGAAATCTTCATGTCTTTGTTCACCCAGCAGTAGCAAGAACAATGGGCCCAGTGTAGGCCCTCCCTGAATGTTGCCAGTGTGTGTGGGAGAGTGAATGAGTGTGGATTATCTATTTCTACACCCACAGCAGTGGTGGGAAGCTCACTGACTGACCACACTCTGATTCTCTGCTACAAAGCTGTTAGCTCCTTTCAGTCAAAATTAGTTCAAGCCATTCGCATAAATACTCTGTAAAAGTTTCAGTATCCTGCCATCCCGCTCAAGGAAGAATGAACAACTAAATAAGAGTATTAGAAATGTTACTGTTACTTCTTATTTTGGAAGTTGACAGTTCTACTAAGGAAAAGATGTAGACTTTTTGTTCTTATTTAACAAAACCATAACTTTTATGGTTTTATCTAATATAATGGAAACTCCCATTGCATTTTAGAGCTCTGCTTTTGAAATTGGCCTGGAATTTTCACATTATATCTTTCTCAGTCATTTGAAAAGGCTTAATCAGGAATTAATTTTCTTCAAATATATTATCTTTTAAAAGATGTAACTCAGTAATTGTAAAGCTGAGATGATGTCTCAAATTTTGAAGCACTAGGCTTTGCCGCTTTTACTCTGTATATATTTTTTAAGTTTAAGATCTCTAGGCTTAAAAAAAAAACTGGTTTACATATTTCATCTCCAAACAAAATTTCTAACAGATAAAAGTCATTTTTATAAATATTTACTTTAAGTTTAGATTTATTACATACTTACCAAGTAGTTTTAAAATTCTGTCATTGTTTTGAATTTTCTGGCCTGGGATAAACTTATTTTATCTTTATTTTTACAGAATGTTGATGCCACTATCTCAGTTTCCTCATCTGCATACAATAAATACTTAAGAAATATTAGGTATAGGCCCTGGCTGGTGTGGCTCAGTGGTTTGAACACTGGCCTTTGAACCAAAGTTTTGTTGGTTCTATTCCCAGTCAGGGCACATGTCTAGTTGTGGGCCAGGTTCCCAGTAGGGGGTGCATGAGAGGCAACCACACACTGATGTTTCTCTCTCTCTCCCATCCTTACCCTCTGTCCAAAAATAAATAAATAAATAAATACAACTTTGGGGAAAAAAGTTCATAGGAATTTTTTTTAAAAACTATTAAGTATATAATAGTAATTTAACTCCACAACTCCTTTCTTAGCCTTACTTTTTATTGTTGACCCTATTACATTGTTCCCATTTCCCACTCTCTTTTGCTCACCTCCATCCAGTCCCCACTCTCCCCTCCACTCTGGCCATCACCACACTGTTGTCTGTGTCTATGGGTTATGCATAAATGCTTTTCGGCTAATCCCTTTGTTATTGGATGAGGTCTGGGCCAGAGTGGGTCTGCCTTGGACCCACTAGTAATGTGTGGGTTCTCGACCTTGTGTAGGGAAGATTTTACAAAATAAGTCCAGTTGATTTTGAGAGGACGTTTATTAAAGCTGGGGATAGCGAAATACAGAAGGACATAAGATAGATGAAGAAACAGGAGGGAGACTAGGTGGGTCTTCGGCTCTCTAAGAAATAGCAGTCACAGTAAAAGAAGTGAGCTCCCTGAGAAGTCAGAGAAAAAGGGGTCCTTAGAGCAGGTTCAGGGAGTTAGCCAGGATGAGCTGCCACTGCCCATTTTTTCTTCCCTGGTTGCATGTTTCCTGGGATCCCTTAAAGTTTGGGAGATGCAGGCCTGTAGGGGAAGAAGTAGGGGAAGGGAAAGGTGCTGGGTCCTCCAGGGAGGGAAAGTGTGAAGTGGATTGTTTGTCTTGAGGCTTTTTATCTTTCCTTGGAAGCAGCAGGAATTTTAGGGGAGATCTCAGGGGAAGGCTCTTAACAGAATATTCATTAGATTTCCAGATGTGTCCTTCAACTTGTTCATCAAAACGTGTGTATAGAGGGGTCAGGGTTATTTTTCTGGTTAGTTTTATTTTTAAAAAACATTACTAGTGAACCTTGAGGAGGAACATCATTGAGGAGGGATGGGGACCAAGGCTGTTCTGCCCTGGGACAGTCTGGAGTGTGTAAACCACTTGCTCCTAACTGTCCTTAGGGAAGATAAAGCCTTGTGATTCATTAGCTGGCTGTAAGTTGCTAAAATTGCTAGGTCTTGTTTAATTATTTTGCTTCAATTTCCCTTATTATACTTATCTAGGAATTTCCCTAGCTTTTTGCTGTCCTGCCTCATCTTCATTTTTTTTTCATCTAGTCCCCACCTCCCTTCTCCCCTCTGACAGGGGTCAGTCTGTTCCTGCGTCCATTACTCTGTTTCTATTTTGTCAGTTTACTTTTTTCATTAGATTCCACATACAAGCGAGACTGCATGATGTTTGTTTGTCCATGACTGGGAGCCTAGGTCCTTTTTGTTTCTCCCTAGCATAGATGACAGCCTTCCAAATTATCTCCACACCAATGGTCCATTTTCCTGTGAGCTCTTTCTCCATGCAAAATCTTTCTAAAATGCAAATCTGGTCAGCTTAAATGTGTAACATTTTGGGCTTGATAATTCTTTGTTGTAAGAACTGGATGCTGTCTCATGCACTGTAGGGTGTTCAGCAGCATCACTGGCCTCTTTCCACCAAATACCAGTAGCATTCTTCCTCCCTCTCACCATTTGTGACAATTAAAGATTTCCCCAAGACATTGCCAAATGTCTCTTGAGGGTCAAAATCACACTGTTGAGAAGCACTGCCTTAAATAAAGACCATCAATGGATCCTTATTAAAAAGGGTAATCTTTAAATTCTTAACCTGGCATGAAGTTGTGTACGACCTCCCCTGTTTAATGCTACAGCCTTTTCTAGTTCAAACTCCATGTTCTGATTAAAGTTTAAAAAAAAGTCTGCTTCCCAATATATCTGGACATGTTGTGCCTATAAAAGAAATTGTACTGCTTTCTACCTTCTTTGTCTTCCGCTTTTGTGGTTCTCCAGTTCTAGCATTCATGTTTCAGAATCACCTGGAGGACTTGTTAAAACTCAGAGTGCTGGACCCCACCCAGAGTTTTTGATTCTGTAGGTCTAGGGTGGAGCCTGATAATTTGCATTTCAAACAAGTACCAGGTGATGCTGATGCCTTTTAGAACCAGAATTCTAATCTCTTAAGGACTTCCTATTCACCTGTAAGTCTACTGGTGTTGATCATCTCACTTAAGGAGTTTCCTTGACTGTGCAGGCAGAGTTTATTTTCCTTCTGTTGAACCTCTACCATATTATGTCTGTTCATCTACCTATCCCCCATGCTTACCGACACCCTTCCGCAGAAAGTTCTGTCCTACCCTGCCTGACCTACATTGCCCACAACTGTAACATGGGGAGAAATGAGGAAACAAGCATAGAGCTCCAAACACAATGTCTGGAGCATGGTAAATGCTCAGGAATACAAGTATTCCTTTTGTGAGGAAACCATGCCTCTGAGTTTATGCAGTCAGCAAGGGGCTGAGTATGCCATGCAGAGGCCTGGCACTTCTAGACCTGGGTAGATCCTCACAACCTGCCTTTCTCAACAAGGACTATAAGAGATCAATAAAAACTAAAAATCCTTGGATCTCCCTCTGCCCAAAACTTTGACGTACTGAGCTAGAATCCTTTCCTTAGACATTTCACCTTTATACAGACCAGTGAGATTGTTTAAGTAACCTAAGGAAGACAACTACCCAATTGTTGTTTTCCAATTGATATATATATAGTGTATATATTATATATGTGATATATAATGTATATATTATAGAGAGAGAGCAAGAAAAAGAAAAGAGGGAGAGAAGCATCTTACTTAAGGGGAAGTCAGCTTTGAATACATGACACTCTTAATTCAGTAAACTCCACCAATTCATCAGTATCACTTGCTGTGTTCTGACAGGACCTAACCAGAGGGCAGCAGCGCTACTTTTACAGCATCATGAGGATTTACAACTCCAGGCCCCAGTGGGAGGCCCTGCAGACCCGATATATTCACAGCCTTCAGCACCAGCAGCTGCTTGGTGAGTTTAACTACCTGACCTGGACCAAGCACCTCAAGAAAAGACTTGTTCACTGAAGCCAGAAGTCAAGTCTCCTGATAAAAATTCAAGTAGAATGCCCTCTGCCAACAAGCTGTTTTAGCAATGTGGTTGGCAGGCCGACTTTAAAAATAATTACTCCTGACAACAGAAAGGAAGGTTTTATGGGTAAATTAAGAGGGTTTAAAGAAACTGGAGGGTGAATTGTTGTAAAATATCAACAGCTCTCAGATTTACAGGAACTTGATGTGATAGAAACAGCCATGGCCTCAAGCAGATGGTCTAAGCTAAAAACCACAGCTCAGCCCCTTGCTGATTGCATAAACTCAGAGACATGGTTTCCTCACAAAAGGAATACTTGTATTCCTGAGCATTTACCATGTTCCAGACATTGTGTTTGGAGTCCTATGCTTGCTTTCTCATTTCTCCCCATGTTACAGTTGTGGGCAATGTAGGTCAGGCAGGTATATAACCCGACCAAGCTTGCACAGGTAGTAAATGTCAGTTAGGACCATCACCTGCAAAGATCGTGCACTTTCTTTCCCATGCCCCAATGTCTCTCTTCTCCTATGAACTTCATGGGATTTTATGAAGCATAAATGAAATAATGGTTCTGAAAAACCTTCATAGATCATAAGTCACAACCTACAAAAAGATATAATTGTTGTTAAATCTCTTTTCTTTCAAAAATGTTTTCAGTCTTCAGCTCCTCTCTATTACACTCTTGTAACTCCCATAGAACTTTATTTATTATTATTTTTTCTAAACTACTCACTTCGCACTAGCACATCTACTTATACTATTGTTTCTGTATTTGCACAGAAGGAAAACATGTCTTCTGCAAGTGTTTAATAAGAAAAACAGTAACAGTAGTTATCTGTTATTATGTCTTCCTAGGTTTCAGCAATTAGTCTAAGTACTTTGCTTGTATTTGCATGTACTGTCTTATTAAAACTCAAACATGTCTACATGGTAGATGCCTTTATAACCCACATTTTACAGAAGATAAAATTGAGACATGATAAGTTAAATAACTTGACTAGGGTCATGTAACTAGTAAATAGCAGAGCTTTGTTTGCAGAATAAAATTGCTTAGAAGTCAATGAACCTAGAAGCAGAATATTCAATGTTTAGTACACATAAAATACAACTGTGTATGTTATTAAAATGTAGATTTCCAGGCCTAACTTTTTGAATTTATGATTCAAAGATATCTGGAGTAGAACCAGAAATCTGCATTTTTAAAAAGTATCATGAAAAGCGGTCTTAGCCAGATGATTGTGTAGGTGATCTGCAGACTACTTTAATAACACAGAGAGACTGAATATATCTGCTTCTGGTCTGAAGAATATTTTGATACTAATAAACAATTCAGATGAAGATTCTTCATGGCTCAAGCCCCTCTCCAAATGATCTGTCATGATAATCAATGGCTATGTATTTATTAATTTACTGAATGATTGATGCAAAAGAAGAAATATACTTCCTGTCTTCAAAAAATCATAAAAATCTGGGTGTGCTAAACAATTGTCTCAATTGTGCTGAACAATTGAGCTAAAAATTTTCTTTTATCCTGTAGAGTAGAAGAAATTTTGTGAATCTGAATATTTCCAGTGTTTTTTGCTTATTTGTTTTGTAAAACTATTGACCTTAACATCTCTCTTATTTCTTTCCCCTAGGTTATATTACTCAGCAGGAGGCCTTGGCTTGTACTGCTGTACTTAGAGATTTAACCAAGAAAGCCTCAGCCAAGGAAGCTCTGCAAAGAACCATTCCCTGGAGGGCTTCAGCCATGACAAGAACATGGCTGCCAGCACTCCCAGTGTCTGTGGTTCAACCCAGAGCCAAAAGTGCAAGGCTCCGATCCACAGGAGCCAAGACTTGGCACAAGATCTAAAACAGGCAGTGTGTTCATGGACTCCTAGCATCTAGTGAATACTGAGTATATATTTGTAAATGAGCATAAATAAATCTTGTAATATAAACCCACAAGTAGAAATCATCTTTCTCCTATGCATATAAATTTTACCAACAAAAACACATTGAGAATTCCTTTTACTTGACATATCTATAGAGTAAAATGACTTTTGAAGCATTCAAAGTAAAAGTTTCCTTTGAGTTAAAACCTCCTAGAGAAGTCCCAAAAACAGTGAAAAGGGAAAAGTAATCAGAGGTTGCCAGGTTCTCTATCACCGGGTGACCATCCCTGAAAAGCTACCTATTGCATGTATTGAAAATACCCTAAACAACACAGAGTTAACACTCAGCATGCAGGATTCCTGAAGCCATATCTTCTCAGCTACACTGGGACTATAAATTTTCATGTCTCCCTTCCTCTCTTTTTTCCCATCAAGCAATAGCCGTCAACTTGGCCCCAAATCTGGTTCTCATCTGACTCAACAATTCTTTTGTGTAATCTTGAAACTTGAAATTATCAACCCACAACAGCTAAGTTCATTCTACATTCTGCAATTAACCTTGATGTGGGTAAAAGAATTCATGCAAATACCCCACACCCCTGGTAAGTGGAGGTACACTCTCAGCAGAACAAGAAATAGCCCCTGAAAACTAATTACAAGTCTAATCTTTCAGTGGCCTTGATGGTTTTAAGTAAAGCACACAAAACTATGTGAACAAGCAAAAGATGAGATAAAAGCTGATTCTTTGAAAAGATAAACCAGGCTCATTGAGAAAAAAGTGAGAGAAGACCTAAATAAATCAAATCAAAAGTAAAAGAGAAATTAATGACACCACAGAAATACAAAGGTTTGAAAGAAAATATGAACAGCTATCTATATGCCAAAAAACTGTACAATGTGGGTGAAATGGATAAATTTCTAATATTATACAGTCTTCCAAAACTGAATTTTAAAAATCAGAAAATCTTATTAGACTGATTACACCTAATTAAATTAAAGCACTAATAATAATAACATTAAAAAACTACCAACGAACAAAAGCCCTGTATCAGATGGCTTCTCAGGTTAATTTTACCAAACATTGAAAGAAGAACTAACACATATCCCTCTCAAACTATTTCAAAAAAACTCAAGAGGAGAGAAGACTCTCAAGCTCATGTTATGAGACCAGCATTATCCTAATTCAAAACCAGATAAATATACAAGGGAAGAAAATTATAATCCAGTATCACTGATGAAGATAGATGCTAAAATCCTCAACAACACATTAGCAAACTGGACCCAGCAATGCATTAAAAAGACTATACACCATGATCAAGCAGGATTTATTCCAGGCATGCAAGGTTGGTACAATATCTGCAAATCAATAAATGTTATATACCACCTTAAAAAAAGAAGAAAATATCACATGATGTTAAAGGTGAACAAAAAGCATTTGATAAAAATTCAACCCCCATTTATAATAAAAAGATCTCAGAAAGTGAAATAGAGGGAGCATACCCCAACATAATAAAGGCCATATATGACAAATCCACAGCCAACGTCATCCTCAACACACAGAAACTATAAGCATTTTTTATTTAATATAGTACTGGAAACCAAGCAAGAAAAAGTAAAAGGCATCAAAATTGGGAAGGAAGAAGCAAAATTGCCATTATTTACAGGTGACATGATACTGTATACATAAAATACTAAAGTTTCTAGCAAAAAAAATGACTAGAACTGATAAATGAATTTAATAAACTAACAGGACACCAACTAGATATCTGAAATCAGTTGCATTTTTATACACAAATAATATACTATATAAAAAACTAAGAAAACAATCCCATTTACAATTGCATCATAAAATAATACCTTGGAATAAATTTAACCAAGGATGTTAAAGACCTATACTCAGAAAATTAATAAGATGTTGAAGAAATAAATTGAAAAGAGATACTAATAAGTGAAAGCATATATCGTGCTCATGGATAGAAAAAACTAACATCATTAAAATGTCCATACTACCCAAAGCAATCTATAGACTCAGTAAAATTCCTAAATATTCCAAGTATTTATATAAAACCACAAAAGACTCTGAATAGCTACAGCAATCTTGAGAGAGGGAAACAAAGTTAGAGGAATCACACTACCTGATATCAGAGAATACTACAATGCCATGGTATCCAAACAGCATATGGTACTGGCATAAAAACAGACATATAGATTAGTTGAACATAACAGAGAATCCAGAAATAAACCCATGCCTTTATGGTCAATTAATATTTGACAAAGAAGGCAAGAACATACAATGGATAAAGACAGTCTATTCAATAAATGATGTAGGGAAAATTAAACAGATACATGCAAAAAGATTAAACTAGACTACCTTCTTACACCATAAACAAGAATAAAGTAAAAATGGATTAAAGACTTCAATGTATGACTTGAAAGCATAAAAATCTTAGGTGAAAATGTAGGCAGTAAAATCTCAAACATTTCTCATAACAATATCTTTTTGCATATATCTCCTTGTGCAAGGGAAACAAAAGAAACATGAAGAAATAGGACTGTATCAAACTGAAAAGTTTTTGTACATCAAAGGAAACAATCCACAAATGGAAAGACAACCCACTAAATGGAAGAACATATTCACCAATGATACATCTGCTGAGAGGTGAATATTCAAAATTTATTTTAAAATATTATAAAACTCAACATCAAAAAACCAAACAATCCAATTAAAAGATGGACAAAGAGTTTTCCAAAGAGGACATACTGATGGCCATTAGATATATGAACAGATGCTCAATGTCACTGATCATCAGAGAAATGCAAATCAAAGCCACAACGAGATATCTCCTCACAACTGTGAGAATGGCTAATCACTAAATCAACAAACAAGTGCTTTGAGAGGATGTGGATAAAGGGAACCCTATTGGTGGCAACACAGATTGGTCCAGCCACTGTGGAAAGCAGTGTGGAGTTTCCTCAAAAAATTAAAAATGGAACTTTCTTATGACACAGTGATTCCACTTTCAGAAATATATCCAAAGAAACCCAAAACACCAATTTTGAAGAATATATACACCCCTATGTTCATTGCAGTGTTGTTTTTTATAAACAACCATTAATAACCATGATTTGGAAGCAGCCCAAATGCCCATCAACAGATGAGTGGATAAAAAGCAGTGGTACATTTACACAATGGAATACTAGTTGGCAATGGAAAAGAAGGAAATCTTCCCTTTTGTGACAGCATGGATGGACCTGGAGATTGCTATGATAAGTGAACTAAGCCAGTCAGAGAAAGACAATTACCATATGATTTTATGTACATGTGGAATCTAATGAACAAAGTAAACAAACAAAATAGACTCACAGATACAGAAAACAGACTGACAGCTGTCAGAAGTGAGGGGGTTGGGCACTTGGGTGAAAAATGTGAAGAGATTAATCAAAAAACAAACTCATAGACAACAGTATGGTGATTACCGAGGGAAAGGGGTGGTGGGAGGTAGAATAGGGTAAAGGGGGCATAAATGTTGATGGAAAGAGAATTGACTTAGGGTATAAACACACAATACAATATACAGATTATGTATTTTAGAATGTACACTTGAAACATATATAATTTTATTAACCAATATCACCCCAATAAGTTTAATAAATTTTATAAAAAGAATGAAATTTTAGAACTAAAAAATGAGAGGTCAAATCATTATATCAAAATTATAGTATTATATTATAATTAATAGTTATTTTCAACACTAGTGATTTTCTATGTATTAAAAATTAGTCATCAATGTTCATATAAGGTCATAAAAAATACCTTTTTTTCATCTTCTTTCTAAATGTTCAGCCCCCTTTTTCATTCAAATCAGCCAATGACTTTGTCATGCCCATGAAAGGAGTTGGCTTAGATGGAATATAAACTTACCTAAAAAGGGATTTGCTAACATTAATTTGAAAGGAAGATGCTACAAATTAGCAGAAAAAATAAAAAGGCAAAAAACAAAAAGCCTCACTGGTGATTATTATCATCTCTCTGCAACCATTAGTGTAGAAGATACAGAAGTTATCATAACATTCTGAAAACTCCCAATACTGATTCTGAGATTCTATTTGACTTTTCTTTGGGAGGAACAAGAGACATGATTCGCCCACTTCAAGTCCAAGAGGAAGACTTGGGAAAGCCAATGCTGACCTTTCACTAAGTCATAGAGAAACTTCTTGACTTCTGCTTATTCTGGCCCTGACTCTAAGTAGCTTTACAATTATAAGTCAAGAATCATTAGATAGACTTAAAAACGTATATCAAAAGGCACTGGAGTGAGCCATAGGACAGCCCTCCTGAGGGACAGAGGTGTGTAGTATACCTACATCAGTCAATACTATTCTTTCCATTGTTTCCATGATGGGGCTTTTATCACTTTAAGTTTCTTGCATGCACTTTTATTTTAGACTTTTTTTCCTGTTGCCCACAGACAGTTGTTGTGTAAGCCCTAGCTAGTGATGTAGAATATCAAGGATGCCTCTTATAATTCTGAGTTGCATCCCTGCATCCCAAATATCAGGAGAACCTACTTTCTGATAGAGGATTTAAAAGCTAATTGGCAAGCAAATGTTATAGGCCCAATGTCTATAGAAGGACAGAGAGATCTAAGTTTGTACGGAATAAGAGCCTACTTGTTGACTCTCCCTTCAGAAAAGATTACAGCCTTCCTCTTAAGCCCCAGCCCAAAGTTTATAAAGAATGTGGTCCACTATGGTGCCAGAAAAAAGATGCTTACATGGGAAAACACTGAGAAAGATGATCAAAGGGGAATTATGGACAACCTGTAACTTTTAGGAAAGTCTACTACTTTGATTTATTGGGAGTATATAGCTTGCTTTCACAATGTCAATACACATCATCAGAAAGTTCTTGAGATCAGTGACCATTTCACCTGAAATTACTGGAACATAGAACAGCACATGGCCTTTAGTCGGTAAT